CAAAAAAATGTAACACTTTAAACAACTCCAAAGAAATGTTTAATAAAGTAAAAAAGTAAATACAGTACAAAGTCCGTAATCCGGACGTCCATTATCCGGAATGATGTATAATTTGGACCTCAAAGCCACAAACTTTTTTTTTTTTGTATGCTTTACGCAAGCGTAAACATCTATGTTAAATTTCTTGAACAATGGCAAGACGTTTTGAAATTTTTTAGCATAAAATCTGCTGTGTGGCACATCGCAAGATCATGGGAGAATGTGCCTCCAGATACGTTAAAAAATGCTTGGCATAATTTATGGCCAGCTACCATATTTCATGGTGAGGATGATGAAGATCATAGCCGCAAATTTGAAGGTTTTCGCACATTGCAAACTAAAGGTGAAATTTTTCAGATATTGGATTTTGTAACAAAATGTGTAGAAGCAGTAATAAATGAAGATGATATGATAGAAGTTTTTCATTGCGACGACAATGCCCCAATCATCAATCAATTAACGGACGTTTCTGGTTATAGATCAAGAAAACACCGCTTCCGATAGTGAAGAAAGTGACAGAGAGGTTATTGAAAACGAAAAAATTTCGATTGACAAGTTAATCAGTATTCTCGACACAGCAATTCAGGACTTGAACAGTGGAACTTTGTAACTGAACAAGCAATTATGTTGTATAGAATTAAAGAGAAGTATAGCACAAAAAACGAAGCAACTTAAATAACTTCATTGAAAGAAATGTTAATAAAGTAAAAAAAAAATATTAAGTTTTTTTTGTAATTTTGATACCCTTTAATCATAATTGCTCTTATTTCATAAATTATGGTTTCATATTTTTAATTGTGCAATTTCTGCATGCCATCTTACCAGATTTATTTGATGATCTATAATCTGGAAAAACCCCTGACCCGGAATTGCCGAAGTCACGACGAGTCTGGATTACGGACTTTGAACTAATAATTTCTCTTATGGTATATGTGGTTGCAAAGAAAAAATACAGTCAAGGTCGGCAGTAGAACCAGTGCAACTGCAGCGGGTGGCAGAATTTAGGAATTAAGCCTTTTTTTTTTTTTGTAAATTTTGATACCCTTTAGATTATAAATGCTACATTATTTCACAGACCATTATTTCACATATTTAATTTTATTCTTTCTATATGCCAATCTTACTAGACTAAAACTCATGATCCAATATCTGAAAAAATCCTAAACCCGGAATCGCGGAAGTCCCGACGAGTCCGGATCTGGGACTTTGTACTGCAGTTGGTATTGAGGAAAAGAAAAGGCAGTGAATACATTCTTAAGAGCTTGGAATTTTACCTGTGATTTTCTTCCAGGTATTGTAATTTTTTTATCCTCATCAGTTTGTTTTGTTCAGTATTTAAAACACTGTCAAAGTTCTGAATGCGAAATTTTGCATTCTTTAAATTTTTTAAGGATGCTCTTTATAAAGCTTATAGCACTAGGCATTGTGCCACTCGGTACAATCTTTGCATGTCCTAAATTCTGCTGCTTTGCATGTCTAAAATTCTAAAAATCCTGCTGCCCTTTGAATGCTGTTGGCCAGTGCACGCACTAAATTCTAAAAATTCTGCCATCCCTAAATTTTGTTGCACAATGCTTTACTTAATTCTAAAATTTTTACTGCCCCTAAATTCTGCCGCCCGCTACAGTTGCACTGGTTCTACTGCCGACCTTGACTGTATTTTTCCTTTGCATCCACATATACCATAAGAGAAATTAATACTTTCTCAATAGATACTGGACAGGACAGACAAATGATGAAATTATCTTTATTTTTCATGCTTTTTAGAAAGGAGAAATTTTATGTATTCTTTGGCTAGACTGGAGATTACGGTCCAGTAACAAAGGAAGCGAAGTTGCGCAAATTCTGATAACCTCTTGGCTTAAATACGAATCAGTGCTTTCTGATCATTTACTGCTCATTACAATTCCTTAAATTTCGTGATAAAAAACGCTTTACTCCATTTTGCTACTACCTTAAAAATGGTATGTGATATTATGAAAATATTTAATATTGTTGATCCTATAAAATACATAATTATTAACTTTCAAATACTTTGGATGCAGAATCGCCCATTTATTTGTTTGGCACTTTTTACAAGCATAAGAAGAATTTTTGTCAATTTTCTTTGACTTTAAGTGAAAATAGGTTGATGTGTACATGGATAAAGTCAAGGGAGTGCACAATGCCATTTTTTTTGCAATTCTGGAATTTTTTTTAAGTACATGGATACCGAGTATGTGCAATTCTTAAAAATGCGACAAGCAGTGGATGATTCTCCACTTCCCCAGTTTTTTCTTGAAGTCCTGTTTTAGATACTTTTACATGTTCACATGATCCATTTTTGGTTGATCTTTACAATATGGTAACTGGTAGTTTGGCGACATTTTGGAGGCGATAAAGGTTACTACCTGGCACTTTGGTAATAATGTGAGCAGTACTCAGTTCCGATTACGCATTATTTTGTGTGAGGGAAATGAGAAATCATGGGATATGTCATGTGATATTAATGGACGAATTTCGGTTCTTTAATCGGAAAAGGGGGAAATCGGGAAAAAATCTGGAAATTTTGTATTTGGCTTTATTCTGTGTTGTGTGAAACAGTGTTTGTGAATTTTTGGATCCCATGGCCGTAACTAAAGTGAATTCGAAATGGGTATTTATGTATGTATTAATTTAATGTATGTGCTCATTTATATTTTAAGTAGTGTTTTTGAATTTAATTATATTTAAATTAAATGATAGTTATTTTGTGAATTTTATGTTTGTAGGAATTTGGTATACGTTTTAGTTGAAGTAAACGTGCATGGAAATAATTTAAATATCTGACAATAAGTATTTGTAATGGTTGCGGTATGAATTCGTTGGTGACGTGTATAATGTAATAGATGATTTAGAGGTAAAAGTTTTTGGATATTTTATTTATTTTATATGTGGAAATGTTCATTACTTTTTCGCTATCAGGTAATTTCATATATGTTCTTTTTACCGGGTTTAAAGATTGAGAAAATTGTCATGTATTTTCGTGAAATTTTTCTAATTTATGAGAAAAAAGCAGTGTACATGGATATAGTGAAGAGTGTGCGCAATGCCATTTTTGTGCAATTCTGGGATGTTTTTTTAAGTAAAAATAAGTCGGCGTGTACATGGTTTATGTGTATGTGTTATTTTGAAAACGCGTAAGGAGTATGGTATTGTGCACTTTTTCCCAATTTTGCAGTGAATATTTGTCATGATTAAGCAGTTTTGTTAGATAAAATTTCTAGCATAAGTGTAATTCGGCTAGTAGATTGTTGGAAGAAGTGTGTTCAGTAGATAAAAAGAAAAGAAATATGTCTTTACTTCGTGAAGACAAATGGCGGCGGGAAAAAAAAATAGAGGGTTGCTGTAGGAGAGTTGGTCGCCAAATGTTCGCCAAAAAAACGCCAAGTTACCATAATGTAAAGATCAACCATTTTTTTTTCATGTTTACAGAATTAATTCTAATTCCCAACCATGTAATATGGCGATATGATGAGTTAGTGATTTTCTAAAACGCGCAAAAACCACCAATTTGGCAACTTGGCAATATTTTTAAAATGCGACAAACTTAACCGTAATATCCAGTTTTGCCTATTTTTTCTTATTTAATTTTCTTTAAGGTACTGAAAGAATTTTTAGTGTCAAAAATTCATCTATAGTTAAAGGTAATTCATCTAAGGTACAGCATTCTATATTGATGATAAGGTGAGTATTATTCGACAAATAGAGAATGGATGTAGCTAAATCAATATCTATTAACTCTTTATAAGACTTTTTAAACCAGTTATTAACTTTTTGGGAGATATGACAATGGTAATTTTTTGTGATTCATCCATCAATTTTTACACTGTTCTGTGAGAAAATAAATTTTTCTTACAAGAGCAGATACACACATCAAATATTGCAAACCAAATTTTCAGTACCTTGAAGTTCAGTATGGCAAATTCAAACATATGTTATTTAAAACATTATTTCTTCAAAATATCAAAAATGCAAAAATGTTTAGCTATTGTTAGCAGTTTTTCTTTCAGTTGAATCTACATAAAAATTCAAATAACATTTAACAGCTTTACCTGGGTACAAAACAGCCTTTTCTTAGAGATGGTACTAATATAACAGCACTTCTTTATAATATTTCTAAATGATCACATTAATTCTTAATAAGAAATACTGTTATAGCAATAAAGGTACGAATGACACAATTGAATTCTATATGGATACTTCTATAATGTGGAATATACACAATTCAAATCAATAAGAAAAAAAAAATTTCATTAAAATAAAACTTATTACATATTTAATTAATTATGGAAATTAAACCTAAGTGTATATTTTCAAGCAAAAATCATCTTATTAAAATCGTTACATAACGACACCACAATTTAAAAATAATAAACTGAAAATTTAATACATAAATTAGTTACAAAGTAATTAAATCTGAATCATAACATCGAATATACTTCTTCACTAAATTAAATTTACCGTCCGCGAAGCAACAAATAAAATACTCATTTTTTCCATTAAAAGCAAATATACATTAAATATTTTGCTATCAAACAATCACGCAAACTATCTGTACACGAAATCAAGTATTAAAAAAAACTAGACTTATGTTAAGTCGTGTATGACTGAAATTTGCAAAATATTAATTTACTAGTTTAGTAGTAGAATCCTAAGAAATGTAATCTTGCACTGGGCATTTCATACGCACACTCCACTAAATAATAATGATAAATCTGACACACAGGAGCGGAAATTCTTTACACCAACTCCATGCTCAAATGATATAATAATACTTTCAAACATATATTTCGCATAATTTGTGACATCAAAACTATCAATCAAAACAAAAATGAAACATCTATACCACAATTTGAGAGACGATAATACGTTTCTTCATGAACTTTTAACTAATTGAAGTGTCTCATAATTAACAAATATAAAAATATACAATTACTTACCATCTTCTGGATCATACATGCTTTTCCTATATTTACCAAAACTACCCCCAAAACAGAAATCAAAATACAACAGTCACTATAGCATCTGCAAAAAAGGAATATGTATACATAATCTTTTTGACTGCACTCTACTTAGAGCTGGAGCAAACCGCATGCATTCGTTACCCAGTAACGGGTACATCGGTTGACTCGAAGTACCGATTCGGTACTCACAAATTCATTTCGTTACTCGCATCTGTTCGTTACTCGCATCTGTCGTACGATCAAGACCGACTCTACTAAGAGTACGTAGTTAGTAGAGTCAGTGTTGGTATGATGCGGTTTATTCGATTACGAATGATGCGGTTGCTATTCGAATACGTATGATGCGGTTGCTATGCGAATACGAATGATGCGGTTTCTATGCGAATACGAATAATGCGGTTGCTGTTCGAATACGAATGATATATTTGCTAACAATACCCGTGTGCCACATTTTTCATTGATGATTTCGAATTTTTTTGGTTAACTCATCGGGCAAACTCTTGTTTACATTATATGTTTTAGTTGAAACATAGTTGAACATGTACATTATATGTTAGTTGGTTTAGTTGTTGATATTTAAGAAAATGATCAGTTTTGATAGCGTGAAGCGTTATTTTGTATTTGCTTTTTACATTTAGATTTATAGTGATTTTTTTCTTGAGCGTGCCGTAGTGAGATTTTATTGATTTGAAATATTTATATACTGCGCTTAGGTATTGTTTATATAAGAATATGTAGGTTAATATAAGTTCTTTACTTCCTTGTACGAAATAAAAAGGAAGTAAGTATTGTAATAGAGAAAAAATTTTGGGTATCATATTTCAACGGAAATATCCATTTTTCACGATTACAGAATCCATGCGAATTATTTTTTTGGGTGACGTCTGTACGTACAAACACATTTTTTTTTTCCCAGAAACGGATTGTTAAATGTAATCCCATTTATTCTAAGCTGATACTTATGACTAATGACTATGACTCTAAGTTGATACTTGAAAGAGATTTTTTCGTAATGTGTAAGTATGTATATATGCATTTCGCATAACTCAAAAACTATTAGTTCTAGAACGGTGAAATTTTGTATATGGGCCCGTTATAACATCTAGATGTGCACCTCCCTTTTTATTGCAATCGGTAATACTACGAAACGTAAATATGTATATTTTAAATAAATTATAATTAAATGTAAAGTAGATAGTATATATATATATATATATATATATCCTTATAATTAAATGTAAAGTACACATATATATATATATAATAAATATAAAATAAAAGCCAAGTAAGGCGAAAATAAAAGCCTTGGTTTTTATTTTATTTATTTACCACTAAGTAAGTTACTTGGCTTTTGTTTTCGTGATCGTTGGTTGTAGTCAGGACTTAATTTTTAAAATTAGAAGTGCTGGAGCTCTATGGAAGGCCATCAGGAAAGATGAATAAATAAATAAATAAATAAAAATAAAAAATAAATAAAATAACTAATGCAATAATAAAGTAATTAACAACTAGAATATTAAATTATTATTATTACAATTCAATAAAAATGTAGACAAATGAAAATTTAATTAATTCTTAAATTAATGATGAACAACTAAGTAATGAAATAAAATACCAGACATCGTCTGGTTTGGGGACTGTGGCTGAAATTGCAATTTAAGAACTAAGCCAAGTATTAGCTAAATTTAGGCCCTTGAGGAGCAAATAATGTACTGTTTACCAGAGTACAGATAGATATTTGGTTATGTAGCCTATTCTTCTAAAACGACGTTTCGTCGCTGCCTTCCCCCACCAATTCTCTTTTTTTCGGTTTTGGATTATTTGGTTACGGCAATGCACAATAAGGCTATTGCCTAAGGGAAGGGATGCCTTCGTGGAGGACTTTTTAAAGGAAACTGGCTCATATGCAAGTTACACATGGGGAAAACCACGAAAACGCCCGTGCAGCCAGCCGTTAGCCGGGAATTGAACCCCGGACCGAACTATTAGTCTTCAGCGACTTTACCGCTCGAGCGCTGGTGGGCTCTTCGCATTTCATTCGCTGTTTGAAAAACAGGTGTTCACTTTACGATAAAGCAAGCACCTGTTTGTTTTCTTCAATTAAAACGGGTTAGACGATATGACTCTTACTACTTCATTCTCACTTAGCTTTTGATTTCTAATATTGATTCAATATTTTCTGTAGACAAAGTATTCTGATTAGAATAATGGATTTCAAACATGTGCAAAAGGTGTGTGTCTGAATATAATTAGGTTTTTATAACATAGGGCCCATTTTATTAATTTCTAAAGCAATAGAACCACAGTATCGCTGTTTTGAAAAAAAGAAAAAATGTGACAAATGTATAATGAACATTAGTATACATGCTTTACTAGAAATTCACCCTTTCGTCATTAGCGGTTCTGATGAAAGGAATGGGCAGAAGCAGCGAACGAAATAACGAATAATGGACAAATAACGAAATCTAATCTTGGTTGATCTTTACATTATGGTAACTTGGCGTTTTTTTGGCGAAAATTTGGCGACCAACTCTCCTACAGCAACCTTCTATTTTTTTCCCGCCGCCATTTTGTCTTCACGAAGTAAAGACATGTTTATTTTCTTTTTATCTACTGAACACTTCTTCCAACAATCTACTAGCCGAATTACACTTATGCTAGAAATTTTATCTAACAAAACTGCTTAATCATGACAAATATTCACTGCAAAATTGGGAAAAAGTGCACAATACCATACTCCTTACGCGTTTTTCAAAATAACACATACACATAAACCATGTACACGCCGACTTATTTTTACTTAAAAAAACATCCCAGAATTGCACAAAAATGGCATTGCGCACACTCTTCACTATATCCATGTACACTGCTTTTTTCTCATAAATTAGAAAAATTTCACGAAAATACATGACAATTTTCTCAATCTTTAAACCCGGTAAAAAGAACATATATGTCAGATATTTATATTATTTCCATGCACGTTTACTTCAACTAAAACGTATACCAAATTCCTACAAACATAAAATTCACAAAATAACTATCATTTAATTAAAATATAATTAAATTCAAAAACACTACTTAAAATATAAATGAGCACATACATTAAATTAATACATACATAAATACCCATTTCGAATTCACTTTAGTTACGGCCATGGGATCCAAAAATTCACGAACACTGTTTCACACAACACAGAATAAAGCCAAATACAAAATTTCCAGATTTTTTTCCCGATTTCCCCCCTTTTCCGATTAAAGAACCGTAATTCGTCCATTAATATCACATGACATATCCCATGATCTCTCATTTCCCTCACACAAAATAATGCGTAATCGGAACTGAGTACTGCTCACATTATTACCAGAGTGCCAGGTAGTAACCTTTATCGCCTCCAAAATGTCGCCAAACTACCAGTTACCATATTGTAAAGATCAACCCTAATCTTTAATGCGGTCTCCCAGTTTCTTTAGCCCACCAGCGGCCGAGCAGTAAAGTCGTTGAACACTGGTAGTTCGGTCTGAGGTTAGAATCCCGCGAACGAACTGGCTGCATGGGTGTTTTCGTGGTTTTCCCCATGTGTAACGTTACGCGAGCCAGTTTTACCTTAGAAAGTCCTCCACGAAGGCATCCCTCCCTATAGGCAGATAGCCCTAGTGTGCTTTCCCATAATTAAATACACCAACCAAGTTTCTTTATTTGTATTTGGGAAATTTTTATTGTCATTATGAAAAGTGAAATTTGATATGGATACCACATAACCTTTTAAATTATGCTTATTTTTGCTGCACTTCATTTAAACTTATTTCCTCGAATTATTCTAACTTAATTAAGCGATACCCGAAGGCAAGTTACAAATGGCATCAAACACTGCAAATTTTGAAATTAAATTTCCCGGTCAATCTCTGTCTACGGGACTCAAACTTCTTGTATTTTTATTTTTTCATAACGAGTATAAAACTTTGCCAGCTATAAATATAGGAACCAGAAGACAACATTAAAAGTTAGATTTCATAATTTGTCCAAAATTAATTCTTTTTAAAATTTGACATTGACAAAATATGAATATTTTCGTCATTTAAAATACTTCTGTATTTTTGTTGCATCGTATTTAAACTTGCTTCTTCGAGTTATTGACATTAAATTACATTAATTCCGTTACCTATTAGAAAATGATTATAACAAATCCTCTAATTACGACATCTCTAAAAGGTCACTTTCTGAGAGATCTGTATTTTTGAGAACATAAACAAACATTGGTAGTGAACATCACCTTTTTAAGACCACGACATGTAAAATCCTCTAAAAAGCATGAATGGTTGCATTTAAAGAGGACCCATTACTTCTAATAAAGAATGTAACATTAATGTTAATTATACATGTTTTTGGTGTGTGTGCCAAAATAGTGATACCGTGGTTCTGTTGTTTTAGAAATGTGTAAAATTAAAAAAATGGATACTATATAACAAAAATGTTATTATATTCAGATACAACACCTTCTGAACACGTCTGAAATTCATTCTTTTGCTTAGCATAATTCGTCTGCATAAAATAATAAATAGTATTAGAAATCAAAAGCTAAGTCGAAGTAGAAACAGTCATCTCTTCTAAACCATTTTAATTGAAGTAAACAGACGTTCGTCTTATCGTACAGTAAACACCTATTTTTCAAACAGCGGATGAAACACTTAGAGGCAATGAACGAAATGACACTTTTTGAAGCTGGGATGAAATGAGAATGGACGAAAAGGTACTAAGCCAATAAGACAAGGTCTGGTATTTTACTTTATAATTGAACTATTCATCATAAATTTAAGAATTATTTTAATTTATATTTGTCTTTACATTTTTGTTAAATTTTACTTATAAGTATTTTATATTTCAGTAGCTAATTATTATGTTACTTTAATTATTCATTATTTTAATCACTATTTTTTATTATTTTAATTATTAAGTTTTTTTAATAAGTAATTTTTTATTATTTTAATTACGAATTAATGTTATTATTGTAATATTTATTTTGTTTCTTTATTTATTTTTTATTTTATCTTTTTCCTATTTTCCTGACGGCCTTCCGTAGGCGCTTCTGACTTTTGTGACACCACAAAAGGAGGTGAATTATTTCTA